TGGTCATGCCAATCAAATTAAACTTTTAGCTCAATATAAGATATAATCCAATTATTTAATTTCAAAGAATATGATTAAATACTATATAATCATATAATAATTAATGTCCACGTGACATACCTCCAGGGATAAAAACAAATTCAAAATGATATATTCTTTGAAAATGTGCTACTTCGAGAGCACATTTAACTTTAATTATTGCTGCTTCAAGAGCAATACATAAATATTTTCCTGAAAGATTGATATATACCTAATTATGATTATTTACAAGTGATAGGATAATATTCTTCAAGAATATTAACACATTTAAATTAAACATAACATTTTTATAAAATATTAATATACATAAATTTGTGGTTCTTTAGGAACACAATGCCGTATTCTTCAAGAATACTAGTATATATTATTTTTACTTCTTTTGGAACAATATATCAATAATTTCAAGAAAATATTGAAATTATATCGACGTACTCTCCAATAGCATATCGTTCTTTGAGAATATTGAAACACCAAATAGTATGCTCTTATAGAGAGATAAATCAATATTCTTCTCGAATATTAATAAAATAAGAAAATTGTTTTCCTTTTAAAAATTACAGTCAGTATTGAATTATTTGCATTTCTTCAAGAACACAATGAGATATAATTCTTCAAAATGTGTACTACCTCAAGGGCGTGTCGTGTTTTATTATTACTTCTTTAAAAGCAATATATCAATATTCTTCTGAAATATTGAAAGTTATACAAGAATTTATTCTTCAGGAGTAAAAACATAATTTTCTAATTATACTCTTCGGGAGCAACTAAAATATAACTTGAACATTAATAATAATGTGCTGATTCAAGAGCAAAAATATTTTATAGTAGACAAAAATATGAGTATTAAAATCATGTATTATAAGGGTAAGAACGAGATAATTAATCAAACGATAAATAATAGTAATGGACGTTTAGCGATGAACTTAATTTAATATATAGTACTTATACAATCACAAACCACAATAATTAAGTGCCCATTTTGTTTAATATAAACTTCAAATTTCTCACCAAAATTTAACTAGATACCATGACATAATTATGCATACATATACGGGTAAAATTAATATTACCTTCTATCGAATATGAAGATGAACTGCAAACTTACACAGACAGCATTGCCTCAAAACCTCCAAAAATGGTACAAGAAAGAATTGATGATAAATTTGGGTGGTTGAAACTTTGGATATCAATCATTAACCATGAAAGAGAATTGCACACGTGGTGGTCATATATCTTGGGAATGGGAATACGTCTATTAGTAATATCATGCTCTTCTAGAGCAATTAATATTCTTTTAGAATATTTTTATAACGTGGGTTGTGTTTCTTCGAGAATATCAACACTATATTCATTTAAAATAAATATAATTTAAGTTATTCTTCTTCAGAAGCATTGAGTCAATATTCTTTTGGAATATTAAAATTGTAATATCATACTCTTCTGGAGCAATTAATATTCTTTTAGAATATTAACAATGTCGTGTTACTTCAGGACCACCAACAAACTCTTATTTAAAAATATTAACTCTATAGGAGTATGTTATCATTATAAGATATTTATCTATATGAAGATCTGCTCTTCAGGAGCAATAAACATAATATTCTTCTGGAATATTAATAATAATATTGTGTTACTTCAAGAGTAACAGCAAAATATTTGTAATAAACATATTTATGATTAATATTCTTCTGGGAAATTAGAAAAATATTATTCATGTAATGTTGTGCTACTTCAAGAGCAACAACAAGATACTCATCTATGATATCGATCTAAGAAATTTTTCAAATCAGGAAATAAATTGAGTTTTATAAAATCCGCTTTTTGAGAAAGAGTAATATTCTACTAGAATATTACCATCATATGAAATTTAATAACCATGAATTTTGGATTCTTCAGGAATAACAAAATATTCTTCATGACTAATATGTCAATGTTGTGTTATTTCAGAGCAACAATAAATATTTATAATAGATAGATATACAATTAATATTCTTCTGGAATATTAATTATAATATTGTGCTACTTTTGGAAAGACAAGATGATAAATTCTTAATTTGAAGTCCATAGAATAATATCTAAAAATATTTAATTATCATATAGACATTATATGAATTTATATAGAAAAAATAATTACCAAACATACATTAAGAAAAAGAATCTCCGTATATAGAAGTTAACAAAATTGGCTAAATCTTTTACCAACATTCAAAATATACTAAACATGTATATGAATTTCACATATATAGAAATTAAAGATAGAACTAATATGTAACAGATTCAAAAGATATAATTAATATTGAATAATATGTGGAAAAAATAATCGTGTATGAATAAAAAAACGTGAATTAATATGTGTTCAGATTACACATACAAACGTGAATTAGAATTAATATGCATGCCGATGAAAAGTAGAGAAGAATAAGCAACATTGTTATAATGCATATGTATTTTGAAATAGTTCACATCCTATCAAATTAATTTTGTACACGTGATAAATATTCATGCCTATAAAAATTATAACATTCACTAAACTTTAAAAAATTAAGCTATCGTGCTGATAACGTGTTATGAAAAGAGGGAAAAGAGAAGAAAATAGGGAGAAATCAATAGACTTGTGTGTTTTATTAAGAACCAAAACCTTCTATTTATAGGGTAGAATTAGGGATACAACGATAATAATTTCTAGGGCTGTAAGGGTATAATTGTCATTCACCAATAAATCCTAATAAACTTTCCTTTTTACAACAAAACCTAAAATTTTTCCTTATTTTTAACCACATATTCTCCATTTCAAAATGCATTCTTTACCAAATAATGAGGCTCAAACAAGCTCTAAATTAGTGATAATGAAAATAAGAGGGGCTAAGCAAAATGTGCATTTTTGTTGACATGCATCCATTAGGTCAACGTCTTTTTTTCTAGTCAATTAACGCTCCTTAATTGGACGAAAACAGTTCAGAGGTCCCGATACTGCATGTTTATTTAAAATTTTTGGAACATAGATACTAGACTTCAAAGATTTGGGACCTCACTACACATTTTTAAAAGGTTAAAGAACTCTGTTGCAAATTTTCCTAAAATTAAAACTGCAAAAGTTGGCGCGATGAAGCATTGCAACTTGGAGCCTTCATGTCTAAAGTTCGGAAATCAGTTGCGACGCTCATAACATTTCGATTCATTTCAATTAAAGTAGGCAGATTAATGCAAACTGATTGGTCGGTTTAGTACAAAATCAGTTCGATCCATGCAAATCGATCCAATTAAGTACTTGAACTACCCGTAACATTGGATGCAAATTTCGGGTTGACCAAATCGATCCTGATTGGGTTTCAAAGTAGTGGAAATCATCCATTTTGAGACGTTACTGTGTTGTGCTCAAATTTTCAGAGCATTGATTGTCACTGAGAACTTGAACTCAATAGCTTGGCTTTACTATTACCTTGGATCATTTCATTTATTAAATTTTTAGATAAAATTATTCTACATTATACTCATCCAAAATAAAAATATGAATTGTATAAAAAGACGAGTGGATTCTCCTTTCTTTAGATTCCAAATCGAGAATATTATGTACAATCCAAAATATTTTTCCTTTCGTCTTCTAAAATATCCGTTGCTATGGGTGATCTCGTTCAGCAAAAGAAATAATAGCTAAGAGTACATCCGAAGTACTAAATCAAACGGTAAAAACAAGTTTTTAAGCTCCAACTAGTGCTAGTTTTGTCAATTTCCCAGACTTTGTTCAATCAAGTTCGTTAAATGGACTCAGCTGACGCCTGTCGTTCGTCAGTGTAGTGCCCATGGACGAGTTGGTGCAAATAATTCGATACTGGGCCTAATAAAGAATGGGCCTCTTATTTTAAACAAATAAGCATTTTATACTTTTACATATAATATTATTTTACATGTAGCATTGTTGTTAAAATTAAGGCCATGCCATAGGGGACTTGACCTAAGTCCAACCTCGTATTATTTAACACGGTCGACAGTATAAATGACTTTTTATTGAATGAAAAATTAATGAACACTATCTACCTAATTCACCATAGTACTATTTACCTATTAATATTCATTACAATTTTATACTAAATTCTTTATACGGTAACTGTTTGCCAAATGTAACCTTATAGCATTGTCAAAAATGGATACCAGATGCATTGTAAAAAGGACATATTACTAGTGATTTACCTCTAAATATTAAATCCCGAGCAATTTATTGCACTTCCTCCATCTTATAAAAATAGTCCTATTTCTTTTTCCATGCAGATTAAGAGAATTTAGTTATTATAGTTGAAATGATAAATTTTAATATCATTTTTCTAATATACCCCTACATTAATACAATCAATATTTAAGGTAATTAAATTATATTCGTGATAACAAAACACATTAAATAGGGATATATTAGGAAACCAATATATTAGCCACACTCTCAAATAAGAAATACGGCTATAATTTGAGACAGACGAAAAAAGAAAATGGAACTATATTTATGAGATGGAGAGAGAGTGGAACAAAATTTAATATCTTCTTTGGACAGAGATATGAATGAGAATTTTTCTTTGCCATTACCTAGAAGTTAATTTTGGTATAGCTCTCCCTCTTGTAATTTGCTCTATCAAATTGACTTGCTTACCCTCACAAACAAGTCTTTTTTCTTAGTTACCTTCATTTTCTAAGTTAATTTTGCTCTATTAAACTGTGCTACTTCCACTCACAGACGAAAGTCTTTTTTCATAATTACCTTCATTTTTTAATTAATTTTGATATACCCCTCCCTTTCGTAACTTTTTATTAAAATCGTGTCACTCCTCAAAAAGAAAATCTCTTTTAACTAAACGCAGAACTTATTCAAATGATTTAGTCTTGACTCCACTATCTTGCATTGGACTCCCATTTTTACGCGATTTATTACAAATATTAAGCAGGCTGAAGTCGGTCCGTTTCTTATATGTGGGAACTCATGCATACATCTTGCGCGGTTTGAGCCATTCAAGCAATAAATCCCGCATTCTATGATCCTTCCTTCCACTGTCTTTTTGCCACATTCTCTCTCTCTCACATTCTTGTCAAACAATAAAATATTGTTTCACACACGCACACGATCAAAGTACAAAAGCAACATTCTATTCTCAAAAAGGAGGGATTTTCTTTTTCTTCTATTTGTTGTACACCACCCACTGCAATTCTTCATCATCAAGGCTGTCTCATCCGCGTAGTGCCCTTTTAGAGAGAGAAAAAGTACTGAGGAAAATAGGTCTCTCTTGTTTTGCCTTCTTATTTTGACTTGGAGTTTGAGAAATCTCCTCTCAGATCTATTATGGGTTCTTTTTTTATTGAAATTCATGATCTTATTTGTTGAAAGATTGTCGTTTCTTTAAGATTTCTTGTCGTGTTATTAATTATTCCAGTAAGCGATCTATATGGTGTTCTTGTTGTCAGAAAGATTTGTTAAGCTTCAGTTTGAGTTTTTCTATGAATGGATCACTCCGTACCTTGTTTTTCAGAGATATCTTCTACCAATATTCTGTACTGACATTGGTACTATAAATTTAATTTATCTTGTTCCTAAATCGTTGCAGATGCAGGCTCAAAAATCCCAGTTTCCTTAATTTTTTATTCCTCGATTTGACTTAAAACATTGGAATTTCCACCCAGTCCATTACACAGCCAGTTCATTCATAATCCATTCCCTAATCCCCAAATTTCAGTTCTCAGTTTCATATATAGTGAATTTCTTTGAATTAAATTTGATTACTTGGTCGTTCTTTTTGTGGAAATGGGTTGTACATCGTCAAAGGAAAAAGTGTGCCGGAATTGCCGGAGGTCTTATTCTCCGGTGAGGCGGAGCGACTCAATGCACGTGCACCACCTGCCTCAAGATACAGGGGATAGCTACCACTTGGTGTCTCTTACTTCCTCAACGTTAGGTTCTTTGAAGCTTGATGATCCAATGATTCAGAATCGAAGTTACATAGAAAAAACTCCGATTGAAAATAAAGAAATCGATAAACAAAACGCGGTGAAAGAGGAGTTTGCAATGGGGATCATTGAGGCCAAGACTTGGTCTAAGATGATCAATGAGAAAATCCCAAAAATTGTTCCCAAAACGCCCATTAGGACTCCTCCGGGCGAGCCAGAATTGATCAATGCTTGGGAGTTAATGGAGGGTCTTGATGACATTAGTCCTCTTAGGCCCTCCCATCATCTTCGTAGCTTTTCCTTTCGTGTATCCCGGAATCCTAATCTGTCTGATCTTGACGAGCAACCAACGCCAAGAGTGAACGAAACTGGCGAGGCGCCGCCTAAGCCTTTGTGGCTCAAATTGGCTGATACTGATTTGAGTTCGAATGATACATCTATTGTTTCTGAATTTGATCCTGAAGTGATTGCTTCTTTCAGAAAGGCACTGGAAGAGGATCTCCCACCGGCCAATCCAATTCATCTCAAGCAAATGGATAGTGAAAAGATTGCGCCGCGCGGTACAGACAAGTTGATAGTGTACTTCACAAGTCTAAGAGGGGTGAGGAAGACATACGAGGATTGTTGCCATGTTAGAGTGATCCTAAAAGGATTAGGTGTTAAGGTTGATGAGAGGGATGTATCGATGCATTCGGGGTTCAAGGAGGAGTTGAAGGACTTATTGGGAGACGGGTTCAATGCCGGAGGCTTACCGAGAGTTTTCTTGGGAAGAAAATACATAGGCGGAGCTGAGGAAATACGCCGGTTGAATGAAGACGGAAAGCTTGAGAAAATGGTTGAAAGATGCCAATTGATGGACGATGGTGTCAGAGGTGGAGGATATGGTGGTAGAGTTTGTGACGTGTGTGGGGATATTAGATTTGTGCCATGTGAAACATGTTATGGGAGTTGTAAAATTTATTACAAGGATGAATATGACGATAACGAATACAATGGAAGTGAGAACGAATACGGCTTTCATCGGTGCCAGGATTGTAATGAAAATGGACTTGTACGATGTTCGATATGTTGTGATTAAGTTTTAAATAAGCAAAGTAAGAAACTGTCTTTCTTGATTTTCGATTTTATTTTCGTGAGTTGTTTCTTGTATAGCATGAGAGTTTTTTATTTTATTAATGCGGTACTTTTAAATAGGTTCATGTTTGTTTTAGAAATTGCGAAATCTAACTCAGTGTTGTCAAAACGGTTGAAGAATGTACGCGTTTTTTCTCTCTTCTTTAATCTGGAATGTGAGTCAATATAAATTGTAAAAAATGATATTTAGAAAAGCAAGGAATAGGGTCCACAGGTCACAGTCCATTGGCAGGCCAAAGTGGAAAGCATGAAAATCTGGTTAGTTGACCAATGACTACGTGAATACACAGTTGTCTATATTTTTGACAAAATTGCTAAATGGACAAGGCTAGGGACAGCCCTGTGACAGGTCAGCCCCAGATCTGATCTGATCAGATCTGGGGTTGAGGTTGTGCCAGCCCCGTAATAGACAGGCCCCACCACTGTAGCATCTCTCCATTTTTTATGTGACATTCTAGTAGTAGGTCGGCTCAATCATTCTCGTGAACCTTTCGGGGCCGACTTGCTCTCTTTTTCAAATTTCATATACTTTGTAAATCCCCCCGACAACTCAATTATTTAATGTTAACTGCAACCCATATCTAAGTGATTAAAGGTTATTTAATTATTATTATTTTTACCTAATTATTAGGTGAGAAAAAAGAATCGCGATCAGCACAATTTATGCCAAACCAAGTACAGAAGCAATATGTGCTTATAGCTCAAAAGCATCTTAGTTAAATTGTTCAGCGGTTGGACCAACTGAATCAATACTACTTGAAGATTTTATTGTTTCAACTAAACAATTCCTCGAAAGGGATCTCAAATTTTTGAAAGAGTAATGTTACTCATCGTGAGTAGAAATCATCACCGATCTAGGTGATAATGAATCTTCTGAGTCATTGTTCATTGGAGTTGCATGTCTTACTCGATCTAATCAATAGCATTCTAGCCGTGTCTACACCCCTACCCTTTTTATGACTGAACGATCATTTCGAAGTTTTAGCTAGTGATTAGGATTGTTTACTTCTTGATGTTGAAGCTTATTACCCGATATATCACTGGTCGATCTTAAGTCTTGTTATTTTAAAGATAATAATAATAACATTATTCTTCTTAAAATTATACAGAAATTTGTATCAATGGTATCCAATTCTTGAAACTATCATTCAATTAGCCACTAAGAAACACAATAATAATCCAAAAATGTGGGGATATGCAATTTACTTTTCCACTAAATCTTGAAAGATAAATGCCGTATAGTTGATAAATCATAACAATATGGGTCTTAAATCCAGAAAAAAGGAGGACAAGATAAACTACATAAGGTGATCTAATCAATCAACTTCCATGGGATTATCCATTGCTCACAAACGGATGCCAACAATAACCAGCAAAACAATAAGTAATACATAAACAAACAACTTTTTGCAATCAGATTTCATGTGCCCCTCACCTGGCTAGCATATTTTGTGAGCTCGACGAAGGATGATAATAACATTAAATGAGTTTGGAATGACACACAATTTAGGTTCGATTTTTAAAATAGAACCAATGATGTCCAAATATTGTATGTTATTAATATTTAGTAATTGTACTTACCATGTAACAAATGGAAGTAATTAAGTTCAGCGATCTTTTTTTTTTTTCTCCATAGATAAACGATTGAATTCTGTGTCTTTTCGATGGGATGAAGATAAGGAACTGACGTATGCCAAGATCATTTAAAGATTGGATTGCACAAAAACCCATGGGCCATGGTGCGGAGATCTCAACATATAAATACACTGTTTCACACATTGGGTTCTTGATCTGTTAATTAATAAAAAAAAAAAAAAAGCCCAAAATTAGTGGGCTATTTTTTTAAAACTTCGATTGCACTTTGTTTAGAGCAAATTAGGTCATGTATC